AAAATCAAATGTGTTGCAAATGACATTGTTACTTGTTAGATTGTATAATGGTTAGACATTCATAATTTCGTAATAAAAATACATACTAATACTATGAACGTCAGTTTGTATGATGTTTCGAAACGTTTCAATCATACTTTCCTAACAAAATTTACATGTTATAAAAATTTGAGGCCCTGATATAAGACAATTTGTGATCCAACAATACATTAAACAGAGACACAATTGCAGATCAGTTTGCGAACCGATAATATACCAAAAAGATGATAATATGCATTTTCAAACAAGATATATTTCCAATCTTAGACAATAAGGGTGCGTGGGTTTTCCTCTCGAAGGACCGAAGCAATTCAATACCAGCCCAACAATGGCGATCACTTGCAACTGAGCCCAAATCGATATTTTTTTTTTTTCTTTCCTTCAATTGGTTATGGAAATAAAATAAAAAGGAAAGATATGAAAAAGAAAAGGACGAACAGTGGGTAATGGAGTCGATTTATGGGGGGAAATAGTGCAGAAGAAGTTCGCGGCGGCACAGACACTTGTTCGCCGGAATATTTAACCGTTAAAAATGGAACACTGAGTCTAAATGTTGAAAATAAAAGGGAGATAAAAGATAAAAATGCGGTGAGCGTGGATCGTTAAAATAACTCTTCAAAATTATATCATTTGCAATTTTTTCATCTTTGAATTATAAATATACACCAAGCAAAGTATACACTACTCTTGCTATCATAATATTATCAAATTCAATAATTTAAATTTTCCAACGCATAATTTAATAAACTAGATAGTAAATTTATCTGGTCGAGCTGCAGCCCGGCAGGGCTTTCAAGTAGGTCCATTTATTTTACATAATAAAATTTTATTTTTCTTGCATTTTAACCTAGTCCAAGTATTTCAAGTTTAGAATAAGAAATCCATCAATTAACTATGCATGAAGCAATTTTTATACATAAAAATCACTTCGGCCCATTAAGCTAAAAAATACAGAAGGACCTGTAGAAGATTAGGTCCGTTAAAGAGTTGACCTAGGTTACGAAGAACACAACCAAAGAAGACAAAGTAAATTGTTAAAGCGACCGTCCAATCGGTCTTACTATCAAAATAAGAGTTTTGCATGGGGCCACGTCACTCTTATGTCCCCTTAGCTCACTCCCTTACCATGATTACCTTTTGCTTTTTCTCTATATAAATCCAGCTTTCGAGACTCAAACAAACGATCACCAATTCAAAAGAATACATCCAAATATACACCAATATTCTCCTTGTCGATCTCTCCCTATACATCAGCAAATTCCTTGCATTAATTCTCATCCCTAATCGGACGACCTTTTCTCTCTCGCCCAATTTCCCCAAACAGTAAACCCTTGCCACTTTTCCCCAACTTTTCGCCGTGCGAGCCTCCTCTTCGGCGGCCACTGCCCTCAATACTGTCGACCAGCTTCTAATATTCCTAGGTACGTCGTATTAGATCCGGTTGCTTTTCGGCTTCTCTATCCGCGGCATGGTTTTCGACCCCTCCGGTTTGCCATGGCAGGATTTCAAGGGCTGGAAGGTCCGATTTTCTTGCATTGGCGGTCGTCGTTGGTGGCCTTACGGTGGTCGGGGCGATGGATTGAACTTGGGCTCCCTTTTATTCGGCCTTCTTTGGTGTTGGGAAGGTCGTTTCCTCCGAAGGCGACCGTGGTGGTGCCTTGGTGTTGGAGTGCGCGTGGGGGGCCCGGGGTGCGGTCTGCCCGGGTCAATTTTGAGGTTGCTGGGGGAGGTTGTGTTGGGCCGTGGGATGAGCGGCTTCCCTCGGTGGATCTCGTTAGGAGTTGGTTCGGGTTATTGAGGTACTAGGTGTTAGTAGTCGGAGGGGAAGGCCTTAGTCTAGTATTTAGGTTGTAGTGTGTAGATTTATGTGTTTGTTTTGTTTTGTGTTTGCTTTTTTCTTTCCCTTTCTCCACTTGTGGGAGTTTTTTGTTCTAGTGTTGTTAGTTTGGTTAGTTTTGTTTAGGTTTTTAGGCTACAGTTGTCTCGACTCGTAGGCCTCTCTGTTCAGCCTTTGACTGTTTCTTTCAGCCATTTGGCTGCTTGTAATTTTTGTATTTTTATTAATATATTAATATATTTTGCCGCTTGGAGAAAAAAAAGTTTAATGTTCATTTTTTAAATTCCACCCGTAAACTGTTTATTCAATTCTCCTCATTAGGGCACCCACATTTGTGCCATTAATATGCCCTCATTCAATTGTTTAAATGCCATCTGTGCATTCAAAACCAATATGGGCGTTCATTATTTTGCGGGGTCCCCCAAATTCATTCAGCCCATGAACGGGCATTCATTATTATTTTTTTTATTATTTTGTGTTAATTTAATTGTTTAATCTTGACTTTTTTTTTTGTTTTAATAAAATTGGTCTCACATATGTATTTAAATGAATGTGTAGGGATGTGGGTGTGTGTTTAAATGGAGAGAGATTTAGTGTAAAGGTGATTTGGAAATGATGTGGAAGAGAGAGAGTGTACTTTTTTTATTGAATGAATGGGAAAAAAATTAACAAATGCGGATGCCCGTAATAAATTGTTTACGTAAATTTCTATTAGCTCGCAATTAATCCGCTTCATTATTATAGTTGACGTCCAAATGGTAACAGCAATAATCCAAAATTAATACGATTGAGAAATAATTCGTCGTGCTAGTCTTAAAATATCAAACTAAGATTTATTTTCTCAAAAAAATCAAATTACTTGTTTTCTACTACTATATCGATATTTTTTTGCTATGCTTTAACGACGTTAAATTTCAAGAAATGATTAATATTGAAAACAATAATGCTCCTTCTCCCGTCTATTTTCCACCGCATTGGCACTCCTTAATGTGTCAGTCTAATTTTCCTTTTTATTAGCCCAAGGGAAAAAAACAAGACTTTTATTAAAGTTTTGCCTAATCTTTCTCTCTCATCTTCTTTTCTTCTTCTATCACCTTCTTCCCCAAATTTTTGCCGACTGCACTCACGTTTTTCCCCAACTTTTTTTGCCGTAGGGATATATTTATTCTCTTACTTTTGTTCTTATTTCGAGAACCAGCTTCAACCGCTCGACCAAATCCGGATTCGCAATGAACAGTCGCCCGTAAGCAACCAAATCTGCAATTAACGGGCCTCTCGTCTGGGCTTCTGTTCCGGCCGGGCTCTACCGGCCTTCATCGAGTCACGTGCAGGTACGCGAGCCTCGATCCTGCCTGAGTCCACGGCGTCGAGATGGTCGATTGCAGGCGAGATCCGAACTCCGACCTTGGCTGACCCCACGACTGAGGTCACTGATTGGACGAGATCTGAACTCCGTGTATCTCAAGTTTCTACCGCTCTAGAAGTGGTGGTCCGAGCATTGTGTGGCGACCTTGAGGGTCTCCTTGTGTTCGTGTTTTTTTTTTTTTTTTGATATAAATTGAGATTTAGCGCTCAATTTTTCTTGAAGATGCTGACAAAGTATACAATTTTTTTACGTATTCAAAATCCCTAAAGTTGTAGTTATAATAAAATAATAAAAACATAAATAAATGATAAACTAGTTGAATTCTATAGAGAAGCAGGTTAAATGAAAATCCCTACAAGTTATGGTGAAAGAGAAGCAGGTTGAATGAATTAGAATACGACGAGAACGAAATAGGGCTGAGAGATAAGGAGGGTTTAAAACTTTTAATAAGATATAATTTAAGAGATAAAAGAAAAGTTAAAGACTTTTAACATGACTTATTTGTCTTTTGTACCAAATAAAAAGAAAACAACTTCTGACTAGGCAAACACGACAGGGAGTTGGTTTATGGAGTAGATATTGGAGGGGACTGTAGCGGTACCGTGAAAATTTCGATTTGGCTACCACCTTGAAGAACCCAATAAGTATCCTACATTCCTAATTTTTAACTAATCATCACATCACATCTTCTCTCTCCTATTTTTACATCAATTTAATTTTAATTATTTTATTTTAAATATTATTTTAATATATCCACTAACAATTAACCATACTAACTTTTTCAAATTTAACCAACCCAACCAAAAATCGATCAAAACAATAACTTTTTATATCCAAGCATGCATGCTCATAGATATTTCTGTGGGCATTGGTCAGTGGTTGGAACTTTGTGGAAGCTTCATAAGCTGACTAAGATCACCCAGGGTCGTCTCCAGAAATTTGGAGGCCCTAGACAAGTTTCCCCTTTTCGAATTTCCCGACTTGAACTTGCGTGGTAATTAACTATTTGCAAATAGAATTATAGAAGAAAAAAACCTAATTAAAAAAGACTATTAAATAAATAAATAAATAAATAATTTTCTTGTTTTTCTAGACCTTGGAAATGATAAATTACCTATGGGTTACAAATATCTTTAATAGTTTACATTCAAGCAGTCATTAGAACAACAACGAGAAGAAAATAAAAACCATATAACTGCGAATAATATTTATTCTAACCGAATATCATAAAAAACAAATGAAATATTTAGGGCCTCAAATTTTCACACAAAGTATATATTTTGTCATTAATCAATTCATTAATTAGCCCCTTCATTTGTATAATGGGCCAAACTTATCACAAATACATAATATTGAAAAAAAAATGGGGCCCTAAATATATGGGGAGGCCCTAGGCATGGGCATAGGCTGCCTCCCCAAGGAGCCGGCCCTGAGATCACCCACAATGCATTGGGTCTCTTAAAAAAAAAATCACATGTCATGTAGAAAATAGACTTAGTATATACAAAATTGTGCTCCAATGCAATTAAATGTGGACATGGTTCATCTTACGTGGCACTAGAAAAAAAGAGACCTAGTCCCCTCTTGAGTCTATTTTGGACCAAAGTATGGACCTGTACAATCAGCAATTATTTATATTTTTCTTTTTTTTAAATAGAAAAAACAGATGGTGAAAATATCAGACATTTTTCTCTTGCGGAAAGACTCTTCATGTTCTCGGCTGCTTCTGGGCAGAGTACAAAGATTTACATGATTTTCTCACCCACCGTACATAATTGTTGTGTTAAATTTGTTAATTCTCAATGTAATTGGATAACCAAAGATTTACAGTGACATCCAAATATATTTAATTATTCATACTGAAGTACATAATCAAAATCCTCATGTACACCAAGAAACTCAATACGATTAAAAAACCTAACATTAATCACTAATATAATATGCTCAGAAACTAAAGTTGTTTTCCCAAGGGTTATTACAAATTGAGTACAACTGTACAAATATGTGTGAAACACATGACAAAGAAGTAATACTCACCGTAGGATATTGAAAAAACTCAGTTGGTTGAAGACGAAAATAGGACTTTCAGTACGTTGAAGAAGAAAAAAGAACTTGTCGTGCGAGGAAGGTAGCTGAAACAGATTTTTTTTTTTTTTTTTTTTTATGTGTTTTTATTGGTTGATATGTGGGCTAGATCTAATGTTTTATTTTTGCACTGGAAAGTTCTTGTATTTTTTTACGTGGGTTTGTCCATGTCATTCATTACCTAAATCCAATTATATGCCACATATGTAAAATTGGACCTAATGCATTGTGGGTGCTCCACCGCAATCTCCCTACACGAGTTCGATAGATATTTATGTGGGCATTGGTTCAGTGGGCGCTTTCTTTTATTTAAATTAATTCTATCCAATAGTAATTAGATGAGTTAACTTCATTTTTTTCATAAAATGGATAAAAATTCTCATTTACTATTCACCGCCCCTTTTACTACTCACCGCTCCCCCTTTTTACTCTTTTGCTCTTAACCCTTTTTTTTCTCTCTCTAAACTCTCCATCTCTCTAAATTCCTGAACTTTCAACGAGCGATTCAAACACCGAAAAAAATCCGAAAAAATGTCGAAAAAATCTTACGGCCCCAGCAAAACATTCTTCTCTAACAAGGTAATTTTTTTTTTTACGTGCGAAAAAAATTTTAAATTTTTTTTTAATCCGAAGCCGCGTCCGGCCGCCGCCTCCGGACGCGGCGNAATAATTATTATTATTATTATAAATTATAAATAATTATAATAATAATTATAAATAATTATTATAATTATAATAATTAAAATAATAATTTCTCATAATAATTAAAATTAATTATACTAATTATAATAATAATTATAAATTAGAATTAATTAGAATAATTATAATAATTATAATAATAATTTCCAATATAATTATAATTAATTGTAATAATTATAATAATACTTATAAATTATAATAACAATAAGTTGAATAAATCCACTAAACAAACGTGAGCCAGAATCCAGTGGTTTTGCTCACGCTCTCATTATGTTTTTTTCAGGTGACGGAGTCCAGTCGGAGCGTGAGCCGAGCGGTGGTGTGGTGGTGTCCAAAGATAGCTGGACATTCAATTATGTTTATGTTTATGGTGACATGTAATAATATAATTTTCAGACTGTACTGTATTTTATTTACGCTTCCGTACTGTATTATGTTTATGTTTATGTTGGATGTTATTAAGTAAGTAACATCTCGTGAGTTAGTTAAGTATAAGTAATTTTTGAAAACAGTATCGGCATCTTTCGAATACAAACGCGAAAATTTTACTCAGTTTTTCGTAAGTAAAAGTTAGAAAAGGCGGGGTGTTACACATACTCTTCGAGACAGGCTCGTTTTCCTGAGAGTCTGACGGGTCGACTCAGGTGAACGAGCTTGTCCCGAAGCGTGGGAACATACGTTCGTGAGTAAAAAAATGATTAATGTGTTAAATCAAGTTATACAAATGATTAAATAATTAAAATATTAAATTAACTATATTTTAAGAAATACGATTATATAAATGTGGGTAAAAAAATATTATACTAATTAGCTTGTTTATGAATATGTTTAAAATATTAATTTTGAATTTCAAATAGAGTAGAAGACGGAATAATTAAGATTGTTTTCAAAAAAATTTTAAAGTGTTTAATATTCTGGTAAGTATACCCGTAAGAATAATTTTACTATTTTAATTTCAAAAATTTTGGCAAGTTTATTAATTAGATAAATTCGGTTAGACAAAAGTTTAATTAGTTAAAATATTATAATAATTATATTTTAAAAATTCTAGTTAAATAATTATAATTGTATTAATTAGTTTGTTAGGAATGTGATTATATGGAAGTTAAGATAAAATAAAATGTGCCCAAAAAATCTACTTGTGGTCTTTTCCTTTAAATGTTAGAATTTAAAAATCTAATAACCAAATTTAGATTATATCACGTAAGGAAAAAAATAAATAATAAACATTTATTAGAGAGATAAATCAATAATATTTATATTAGTTATATCATAAAAAATTTAGTCATATCATTTTAATTTCAAAAAAAGTGGCAAGTTTGTTAGAGAGATAATTCCGGTAGATAAATTATTAATTTGTTAAGATATTATATTAGTTACATCATAAAAAAATTAGCTAGATAATGTAGATAAAAAATATAATATTAATTAGTTTGTTAGAAATGTGATTGTATGAGAATCAAGATAAAATAAAATTTACCCAAAAAATCTACTTGTGGTTTTTTCCTTTAAATGTTTGAATTTAAAACTCTAATAACCAAATTTAGATTATAAAATTAATTATATTTTATTTCTATTTTTTTCCTCCTCCATTATATTTGCTTCCACTGCTACTTTTCTGGGATCATGCGACTCAACTCATCACAATCAGGTCATTATTTAGTTTTATCAACTCATTAGAATTACATCTATTAAAATGAAAAAATTATAATGAAAAATTATAAATTATAAACTATAATAATACTTATAATTTAATTATAATGAAAAATTATAAATTATAATTTAAAATTATAATTATTTTAATTTAAAACAAAAAAATTAATATATTAATAAAAAAATTATATTAATTAATTTATTTGAAAAAAAAAATAATATAATTTAAAACAAAAAAATATTATATTAATAAATAAAAATTATATTAATTAATTTATTGGATAAAAAATATTTTTAATTATCAGAATAATAATAATTACTAAATATTATTAAATTAATTAATCACTATTTAAATGGATAAAAAATTTCACTTATTAATAATAATTAATTTCACTTAAAAAATTTAAATAAAAGATATATTAAAAAATATATATACATATATTAATAAATAGTTGTATTAAAAAAATTAATTAATCACTATTTAAATGGTTAAAAAATTAGTTGTATTAAAAAAATATTTTGAATATATAACATAATAATTTATAATAATATTATTTAAAAAAAAAAATAGTGTCCGGCCGGTCGTGACCGGGGCCGGACGCCATTTGGGCCGTCCGGTTTCGGCTGTCGGACAACAATAATTTTTTTATTTTTTTTTTACTTTTTGGAAAAAAATGACAGGGGCTAAAATGTCCAAAGGAGGGCGGTAAATAGTAATGGGGGGCGGTGAATAGTAATGCCCTAAAAATTTAATGTTGAATTCAAAAGTGAAACAAAAATGTTTTGAGTAGATGACGGTGTTATTGAAAAAAAAAATTGATTATCGGTTAGCAAAAAGCCAAATAACTAACAATATTCATTTAATTTGCATTAAAAGTTGGTGGTAATATTCGATACTTAAAATATATTTCATATTTAACTCTTAAATGAGTATATTAAAGGTACCCACCAAGCGTACTTTAAGGATATTGGCTTTCTGCAAATTTTTTGTAAGTTTATTGCCCACAATAAAATTCAAAAACATAAAAATTGTACTCAGTTTTCGACTCTGTTGAAGTTAATCATACATCTGATCTCATTGTCTTTTGTGGCATGACTCACAGACCCATCAACGCGGTTTGTAACACTTTGTTGTGTCATTTATTTAGTTTTGGAATTGGAGGTGATAATAAGAGTTGCTGAGAATGATTTTTAAGTTGCTTGATGACGTTAATTGGGCAATAAGTCCATTTCAAAACCTGGATTAGTTGAAAATTTGGAGGTTGAGTGAGGACCAGCTGATTAGATTGTACAATCTAGGCCTTTTAAATAAAATTCTTCTCGTTTTTTTGTTTTTTTATTTGGGTTAATTGCCTAAAAAATCATAACCTTTTGTTAAATTGCACAAAAAACTCAACTTGTTCATTTTAGCACAAAAAATACAAACCTTGTTTAATTTTTGCAATTGTGTCTCGAACAGAATTTCCGGCCAATACTTAATGACATGGAGGATCGGAAAAATGAGATGGCACACCAATTCAATACTTCCTTCCACGTCATCAGACACTTGTTTTTACACATCACACATAATCCACGTCACCTTCCACGTCAACACACCCCTGATATAGATCGGTTCCTCATTTTTCCCCATTCTTACGCCGCATCACAGAAAAAAAGAAAAGGAACGTCGCACAATGCACTTCAGAATCCCAAAGCTTGAAAAGGCAAAGCCAATTGCTTTCCCTGCTTCTCTCCACTTTCATCATAACCCGTAGGCATACAATGTAACATAATCTGAAAGAACGTTTCTTTCGGGATTTTTGTAACACCATCCATAGCTACTGCACTCCTTCGTTTTCTCACCAACTCGTTCAGATTCAAACCCTTGTAAGAAGTCTCGCTAATCATCCGGCTACTTTTAAAAGGCTTTGAAATCACTTCTTTAGTCGCATTTAGTGGCTTCTTTACAGCTTCAGCCGTTCTATAGATAATATCCCAACACACGTGCTCTTTGCTAAGCATATTTGGTTTGCCTTCCCATTCAAGATTCGAAAATTCAAATAGAGCCCCCTTCACTTTTTCATAATCCACCTCGAATTCCTTCGAACCTTTCAAAAAAATCAACAGCACGCAATCGGGATGCTCGAATTCAATCTTGGGCATTTTACCCCTCACAGGCCTGCTGGGAACAGCAAATTGGGGGAAATTGTCCAAACCCATCAATTTTTCCAGCTCTTTATACCCAAACCCGTCTAAAACCCTAACATCCCATCCAAGCCCAGCTGCAGCCATGGTGACCACCGCTATCGCGTGCCCCACGTCGTGATTACAGTACCTAAACGCCCTCTCGCCGTACTTCCACGCTTCCCGTCAGAAAATAGACGAAAGTCCGATCAAGAAGGAGTTCATATGGGATCCGAGCCCTGAGCTCGAGCCTCCTCGTTCCTTTTTCTTTTTTCTGTGATGCGGCGTAAGAATGGAGAGAAATGAGGAACCGATCTATATTAGGGGTGTGTTGACGTGGAAGGTGACGTGGATTATGTGTGATGTGTAAAAACAGGTGTATGATGACGTGGCAGGAAGTATTGAATTGGTGTGCCATGTCATTTTTTCGATCCGCCACGTCATTAAGTATTGGCCGGAAATTCTGGTCGAGACACAATTGCAAAAATAACACAAGGTTTGTATTTTTTGTGTTAAAATTAAAAGTTGAGTTTTTTTTGCAATTTAACAAAAAATTATGATTATTTAAGCAATTAATCCTTTTTTTTTTTCGATTACGCACATATAATAATTATTATTTTTTCATCATCAATACGTTCATCCCAATATCACCTTTATTTTCTCTTTTGAAAAATTCATATTTTTGACATAATTTTAACACATTTTTCAGTTATAATAATTGTTGAACTCTTGACTTTTGTTCCAACTAGTAATCAACTTGTGCACATATGCATTTGCACAGAGGAGAATACTTAAAAAATACAACAATATAAAAAGAAAAAAAAAATACATAATTATAATTTAATTCATGAATAAAAAATATGAATTAAAAAATAATTCTAAATATTATTAAACACTTGCATTATCAAACATTTGGCTTGAAATTATCTACTGAACAAATAATTGTATTATAAATAGTTGTTGAATTGAGATGGATAACATATTAAAAAAATGTGGTGAATTCGGCTTCATTTTTTATTAAAAAAATTATAAGGGTGACTTGGGTCGATATTCTCAGTAAGCCTATTTGTTTAATGAGTCCGATTTACTAAAGCCCAAAGAAAATAATATTTCAAATTAAACTCAATACACGTTGTTTTGAACAAACAANTAGATATAAATGCACGATTTTAGCTAGAACATTCATGCAATTAATAGACTGATTAGGAGTTGTAAGAAAATTAGCAAAAAACATATCAATATTATAATATTTGTAATTGCTTTAGGCGGGATCATACAGTAATATAATTAAATGATGAAAATTTAGGCGGGATAATATAATTAAATGCAAGATAATATAATTTAATGTTGCTCCAAATTATATATATATATATATATAGTAATCAGTCTGTGCATTTTAACAGAGAAGAATACTTAAAAATGATAACAATATAAAAAAACAAAAATAAATTATAATTTAATTTATGAAAAAAAAATATGAATTAAGAAAATGATTCTCAAAATTGATTTTGATCAAGTAATTGCTATGGAAGAACCGTTAAAATCATTTTTTTTATGCTAATACATCCGACCATTTTCATGAGTGAGTGTGACTTAAAATTTGAGTTCAATTTTGTAACTCCCTTGGTTGATTTATGCTCATAATTTATGGCACTCAAGCAAGTTATTTTGTAACTTAAAAATGAAATTGAATGTTGAAAATTTTGTAGGGATAATAAAATTTAATGCATGATAATATAATTTAATGCTTTGTTGTTCCACTTTGTATATATATATATATATATAAATAGATATGTTTCAGTTACACATGATTTCAGTACATTTAAAATAATAATAATAATAATAATAATAATAATAATAATAATAATAATAATAATAATAATTTTCAACCAATCAGTTGCTTATGATCTCTCAAAATTTTAAAAATTGTTATAAAACTAGAGAGAAAGAGAGAGAATAGAGAAAATGTATTCTCTTAGGTGTGTTTTTCATTATAACTGAAGCTCCTATTTATAGGAAACTCCTGATGGCACAACTCGTAATAATACAAGTACATCGAGGGCAAAATAGTCATTCACATACATTATTTTATTATTTCATAACACTCCCCCTTGAATGACTATTTTCTAAACATATTTTAACTGATTTGAACAAATCCCATTCTGCACATCTTCAAGTGTATCTTGTGACCATCAGGTACCATCGCTTCAGCACGTAAGGAAAACCCGGTAGGACAAAACCTGATCATCTTGAAATCATAACATTGTTTCTTCAGGAAAACTCGGTGGGACAAAACCTGATCATCGTGGAAGCACAACTTTGCTCCCCCTCAAATAGATCATCTTTAGTGGAGTATCCACGTGCTGCCTCGTTAAAACCTTGTCAAGAAAACCCAGTGGGAAAAAACTTGATCGAAGGAAAAAGAGTACAGCTACTCCAGTCTCTCTTATCACCGTGAGGAATCATATCATTTATCCAATAGTGCTCATCATACCATGAATATGCCTCGTTAAAACCTTATTAGGAAAAACCCAGTGGGACAAAATCCTAATGAAGGAAAAAGAGTACACTATTCATGTGAATACGCTATCCTTGTTGCCTCATTAAAAACCTTGCTAGGAAAACCCAATGGGACAAAACCTCAGCCAAGGAAAAAAGAGTACAACGCGTATTTCATATATTCACCATAATAATCTTTTCATAATTTGTATGAGTATCATATAAATTCTTTCGGATTTGTAGATACTGATGGTATTCACGACAATATGTCATATCATGCTTTGTGCAATTTTTATTCTTAAACTCATTCTCATCATCAATTGATTTCAATGGTCTTATTGCCAATAATTCCCAATATTCACATTTCAGCTGATTTCATTTTCGACAATATTATTTATATAGCACTATTCATTTGTTTATGTCAACACTTATTCATCTCCATTATTCTCCGTAGTATATTGAGATATCTCACTATCAATTGATTTCGTCAATATATATGCCTCCTTTCATCACTTATTTGGGGAATTTCAATTTGCACAATA